GGGGGGGGGGTACACGTGACAAGACGCGGGGAAGCAGCAGAGTAAAAAAGCAGTTTAAAGTGGGCACTCAAACAAAAGTATATATATTTTTTCGTGGCCCCTCATAGTTACCCTGGCTGTGTTATGCTTTCAGCACGTTGGACAGAGGCACCGGAGTCGTGCATGGACTAAACCGCCGAGTGGACGCCAACTCTCTTTCTCTCTTTCCCCAGCCCCCCTTTGCCAAACCTGGGATTGTTTTTTCAACTTTTGGTAAGCTTATTCTGTGGGAGCCTGTGGTCTGTAAACGGAAAATAAACGGGATTCTAAAAGGAGGAAAAAAAGGATATTTATATATAATTTTAAAAAACAGGAAACAGAAAAAAAGCTTTTGCCACTAAAAGATCCTGTGCTATAGGATATGATTTTTGTAGAGCATTGTGAAAGTTGAAATGTTAGGTCGTCTGGTCTTTTGCACACCACATTCTCGGTACCTATAAGCCCCCCCACACTGCGTTAAACTTTGGGACATGCAAGTCTTGGTCGCGGAGATCTAACCACGCACATAGTGGTTGTCAGCCCTTGTAAAGGTAAGAGCAATCCATTGTTTTCATGTCACTCTTTTGTTCCTTTCGTCTTATCGGGCTTCTTCTGGCTTTTCTCAAATCAACTTCGGCTCTAAAACTACAGCATGCAGTCTTCGTCTTGGCAGTGTGTGAAATGTTGGCATCAGTGACCGAAATAACTCCGAATAGAAATGCGATCCAGGTGACCAATATCTCGTAGAAAATGTTCCTTTATACAAGTACAATTTATAGAGGATTGTTGCGTGCACATTCATATGGACTTTGATTCATGTGTAGCGTTTAAATTGGGACTCGGTTTCGTGCTTCAAACAGTCCTTTTTCAAGCGTTTTTCTTTTCTCTTTTTTCTTTTTTTGGAGTTTCCGAACACTGGCTGCTGCAACACAATTTGCGTAATCGTTGCGTTGTGCCTAATCATGCTCCCAATATGGGACTTAAGACGCTGCAGTGATCCTCGCCTGCACGAGTACAGATGCTGGTGCATATCATACAAATGTCAAGAAAAACCTCCACCACTTTATCTATCCATCCATCTAGCTATCTGTCTGTCTATCTATCTCTCCTTCTATCTATTTGTGTGCTTATTCTTTCTTGTTTGGTCTGCTGCATTCATGTTTTGTCTTGATGTCAAACCCTCTGGATTTTGTTATCGACCAAAAATAGCCCCTACTCTTACCCACTCCACCCCCTCCCTCCATCGCCCCCCTCCCGGCACTCGCCATCAAATCACTTGTGTTTTTACTACGACCGCTCCACGGTTTCATTCATAAGGTGCTTTTCACTTCACCTGCTACCCTACCCCCCTCTTTTGTCCATACACGGCTCTGTGTCGACCTGTCAAACGCTGGCTGCGAATGAATAAAAAAGATGAATCAATTCTTAATAGCTATGACTCGTGTAATTCGCCGGGTTCTGCCAAAGCGAGTCTCCTTTACAGTATACAAATTGTTCCATTATTTCCTGTGTAAAATTACAATAAATATGGGCGTGGTCAGAGTGCATCCACTGACAGATGTTATGGCTGAATGTGATGGAGAGAGATAAGATGGCTTGCAATTGCTCGGGAGGCATCGATTTGTATTTATCTTTCTTTTTTTATTCCAAATTAAGGCACGCGTAAAACCACATCACGTGAGGCTGTTAGATTTAGATGATCATCACACTAAACCGCTCTGGGATTTTATTTATCTGCTCTCCTGGAGAATTTATATCCTAAAAAATCGTCTCGCACCGATGCAGAAGCGGTGGATATTGTCTATTTCCTCCCTCTCCCTCTCCCTATCTCGTCTTCTTTTTTTTCCTCTGGTCAAAGATTTAAGATTTCTGATCCAAGACGAAGCAATTGCATGGCAAAACAACTGCAAGAGAAGAGAAAAGCCCCTACGCCCACTGGCAGTCCTGTTTTAATCACGGCTCTTCTTGCAGTCTGCATTTTAAATAAATAGCCTACTCCAAAACGAATGTAGCATATTCAGTAAATTCCTAATTGTATTCGAATTACGAGACTTCTCCGCTGCGTTTTCGGTAATTGTCACCCACCAATGTAATGCGCGCAGATCGGTTACTGCAAATTATAGCCTATTACTCCTCATTTTATATGACAGTGAAACCAAAATAGATCATATTACTTATTAGGCTGTCCGACATTCATAAAAACACTCCTTTTTAATAAAGGCTGTGTCGCAAAAAAAACAGCAACGTTTCCGGATCATCAATACCACAAACGTTTTTATTGCACAAATAATGATCAATCATGAATTAATCCAACGAAACGATACACATTTTAGTTTATATAACATCAGGGAAATGGTGATGCTTTAAATACATACTTGGCCTTTTATACACAAAAGCCATGAGAGAGTTGGATTATTGTTATTGCAGCAATATTTTTCGGGTGTATTTTGTTTATAAATATAATCTATTTTCTCGCAGAATTACTATTTTCTGGCCATGTAGCAGTATTTTTAATATTGTTATTTTTTTCTACTGAGACGTGGGATTATAGTGTGGGCGTGGGCGTGTTGGGTGGAGGAGGAGGGATGAGCGGAGGCGGGTTAGGAGGGGTCTGTGGGGTGGCACGACACACTTTGTATGTATGAAGGTTTTTTTATAGCACTTTTCTGCAATGTACGTCAGCGGATCAGTCCATAAATGGGGCTGCGTGTGTTTGTGTGCGGGCGTGCGCCTGCGTGCGCTCGCCGCTGTGTGCGTGCGTCTCCGCGTGTGTTATCTTTACCGAGAATCTCCCCTCTCTCGCTCCCTCTCTCCGTCTCTCTGTCTCTCTCTCTCTCTCTGCACTCTCAGTTCTGCAGAGTTGGGGTGGGCGTCAATAACAAACCTGATGGTAGGTTTCATTGCAAAAATCAGATGGCATTCTTTCGGTAGGCCTATTTATTTAACGACGAATAAATAAATGCATTTAGCAGAAACAAGGATTAAAAGTAACGTTATACTAGATTGTCTCATAATGTGTTCTTTGCTTTTTCCTAATGTTAATGTTGGCCTTTGTGTGTCGTTTTTTGCGTGGCGATCAATTCGTGCCCTTTGGAAGTTAAAGGGATTTGGTTAAATCTGGTATTCAATATGTTTCAGTGTTCTTTTAATATTATTAATAGCAGTGTCCCTTTAATAAAACTCGGTTTTTTTTATTGTGCTTGCCAGACCTTGCCACTACGTTTTCATTCATGAATTGTAACAACTTGTCCATTTATCTGAGCCGATGTCTGATATTAATTATAAATAGGCTATTGATTAATTCTGGCTATAGATGGCGGAAATCTCGACCCACGGCTAGGCGGGCGTCACGATATATTTAGAGCGAAAAAATTAATCATCTTAATCATTATGTAAATGTGGGCTACATCGCCCGCCGCCGCCGTCGCTGCTGCAATGCTTTAGTCACCACCATCATCTTCATCACTAACACTTTCATCCAATTAACAGGCGTGTTTAAACAAGTTATAGCACGAGCCTTTTATTCCGAACCTTTAATTATCAGTTATTCGTCACAGTGGTGTGATTGTTATTTTACAGCGATGGAGCCCACGACAAGTTATTAATACACAGTGGATGGTAGTTTCTCTTACTGTAAAATTCATTTTATATGCCGGACCACTGCGGGACTGCAAGGGTTCATGATGATGATGCGTGTGTGTGTGTGTGTGTGTGTGTGTGTGTGTGTGTGTGTGTGTGTGTGTGTGTGTGTGTGTGTGTGTGTGTGTGTGTGTGAATGTTCGATCATGCCGGCAAACCATCCAAGTGTGTCTCTCAGCATGTGAACATGCAGCACATCACTGAATCCGAGCAACTTCTTGAAATAATAAAACAAAGGCTTTATATATTTTCATTTACTGTATGTCAAATGGACTCAAATGAGGTTTGAAATAACTTAAAGGTGGATTATTAGCATGTTAATAAGGGACACATTTATGTTATGTCCATTAAGTACAAATAAGTATCTATTGTTTCATATGGTTAAAGCAATAAGAATGCATATTCAAGCCATTGCTTTAGTTCTCTAACAGTCTCATTTGTGTAGCAAAATGCTTTATGAGTTCTTGGAGAGAATACTTTAGCATTTCCAAGTAATTTTGTCTCCTGATAAGTGTGTTTTCATTCAGCAGTGAACCATGCAAAGGTTATTGATGCTGTGGTGGTATTGGATTTGGGAGGTGGAGGGGAGGAAGAGCAGGGAGGGAGGAGGGAGGAGGGAGGCATAAGCCAAGAAAAGAGACAGACAGAGACAGAGAGGAGCTTAATAGGCTATGGAGTGATCTGCAGTCTGTGCCACTATAGAAATAATGTCTCAGCTGTATGAGGATGTGAGGAGAGGATGTGGAGCTTGGTCCTCTGTGTCTGCCTGATGATTACAATAAAGGTTATTGTCAACACAAGAGGGATGAGAATTAACTCCTCACGGCTGCATGTGATTATTAAAGGGCTGTATGGCTTTACCTGTTTACCAGTCTAGATTTTTCTCCACTGTTCTCCAGCTCACCCTCGCCTCGTTTGACGTCATCCAACCTCATACAAAATGTTTTTCTCAGTTGACGTGTTCGCTCCAAGGGGGAATGCAATTTCACTTTGATCAAATACCCTCACCGTCTTCCTTTATCCCCGGTGAAAATGACATTTTACAAAATGTCATTTTGTCCGTGTTACACAGTTCCTCTCTTGCACAAGGAGGAATAATTCTACTTGTTAAGTGAAGCTTTCGGCAGTGCGGACCTGTCAGCATCATGCTGCATTTGGCAAGAGAAGCCTTGAAAGGTTATACAAGTGTGTCGTGTTGTCAGCTCCTGTGGTTGTTTCTTCTTTCTGCTGCACAAACAGGCGAAAGGTTCTGAGTGGGGAAGATGTGAGGGGAGACTGTTTCTGTGAATGTTGGGCCATGAATGGCGTAATTAAAACATAGAAATGTGTATTTTCCCAATGTGACAGATAGTTTCAATCATGTTCCTGCAGAGAAAACTTAAATCTTAAGAGAGCTTCTGCCTCAGCTCCAATGAAATAGTGGTTTAGCAGTTTTCAGAAGACTTCTTGTGGCCTTATACAGACCTTCTGCTGTCAATCTGCAGTTGGACCCTTAATCAGATGAGGCAAAAACATCCCTAACACTGCTCACAATGTATGTTTGCTCCCAACTATTAGACATGTTTTTCACTTCATTCAGAAATGCAGTCCTCTCA